ATATTTAGGGTATCCAAAAAGGGCCCATAATTTTGATAACCACCCATATGGGTACTTGTCAAAATACTCCCTACTTATACTCTCATATTTGAACTATAGTCTTAACTCCTCGTATCCCCCATAACATCCCCTATAATATGCCCCTACATCATCTCCTATATAACCCACTCTAAGGAGTTTAGACTATGGCTAATTTTGAGACAAACTGTTCTCAGAAAGCTTCAGAGGTTGGACATCCTTGCAGACGAAGCTTTGAGCTCAATGGTGCCATTTTTTTGCCAGAAGCGCTAAATGCATTTTAGCTATATAAATGTATTATATATACATATTTATTTGCAGATACATGTTCATATATATATATATATCCCCATCAAGTGCCAGCACATAGAAGCCACATTGAATGGAGTCGTAACAACAACTCAGATCACATAGGCAACACAAGGCAACGCCGGGCTGACAGGCATAAACATGACAACACCATTTCTCAAGCGGGAAGGAATCCTTCAATAAGCTCGATGGAGTACCCTTGTGGGCCATGACGGCGCGCTCGATGGGCGACATGTCGTAGCTACCGCGCACAGCCTCAAGATCCTCAGGGCGTGAGCGAGTTAACGTTAATGAAACGCAACGTCTTCCCCTCCACTTTCAGTTCAGCAGCAGGATAATGAAGAATCAAACAAATCCATGCAACCCGTCCTGTGTGGTCAGGCCATAAGATATCTGAGTGTCTGTGCTGTAGGAGACTACAAAGTCTCTCTGGCCATCACAGAGCTCGCGCTTGACCGTCAGCATGGTGTCACCAAGCGGCACGAGCAGAAACCTGACCAAGATGTGGATACTCTAGGAGGATGAGGGTTTACGAGCGCCTACCGGTGTTATAGACATTTAGACTTTTAAGGTCATCCGAGCGTCAAAACGTGTGCTGAAATCTGCCCCGGGAGCATGTATGCAGTGAGCGCAGTAACTGTTACTGCAATGAGTTGAAACATTGACTCAGTCTGGCTGCGCCGGTGGCTGTAGCTGACTTTGATCGGCTCTAGATCCTGTATAGCGTGCTGGATCTTTATGGGCGTCATGCCTGCCAATTCCTGAAAAATCACGCAACCGAAGCTCGTATATAAGCTAATCCCTAAACTCCTATAAGAAGCAGCCCCTAAGATGGAAGTCTTGAAGTTCCCTCCCTTCCCTGATGCCTGCAAACAGGAATTCATCCACATCCAGAATGGCCTTCGTTGTCCAGTGTTCTAAGATTAACCTCGCAGTTTTATTGGGCTTCATACTAACCGACTATCTAAAGAGTTCAGACTACCCGCTGGACAGGCAAGTTGCATTCAAGGCAACCGCGTTGAGCATGAGCTCTTCGATGGACGTTGTCCGCGCAAGCCAGAGAATGCCAGCAACAAGCAGTACTGAGGCAATGCCCAAACGGATGATATAGGTGATCAGCAGCGCAAGGGCACCTAGACAAGTGGGGAAGTTCACTCGAAGCAGCTGTACAGGTCAAATCAACTTTCAGAAGCTAGACACGCACAATTCTGGCGTGATGCCTGCAAGCTAAACATGTAACCGAAGCACTGAAGAAATGCAGCTGTCCAGTTTGAAGCGTGACAACCGATTAACTAACAAACGAATTCCAACTATAAGCATCCATCTAAACGGCCCAGGGTGGGGACACGCAACGCAGCACAAATCTGTTCACAGCAATTGCTCTTTGACAAGACACCGCGACGTGAAATTTTTATCTTGGTTTAAAGGCCTGTGGCTTCAAGGCCTTGACTTGCCCCAACCGTAAACGGTAAGCCAATCTGTCGTTGAAACTCGACTGCCTCCCCGCCCTGACGCATAACTGCGATGTTTGGGGGGGCTTCTTACAGGGAAACGTACCAAAAGCGGAGGGGATATGAAGGGAAAATCAAAGGGATGAGAAAATTAGAATGGGAACTGGGGTTGTATTATAGAGGGTGACTGACAACTACTTAGGCAAGCATTGCATTGTATTCTGAAACCAGGCCAAGGTACGACCCCAGGAAAGCGTGAAGATGGTGTTGTCACGGAAGTCCGTTTCACTTGCCTGTTTGGGACTGGTTCAAGCACGAGCGGTTTCGAGGTTTTTTGTGCTTGACGGCTTCAATGCAAGCATGTGCGGGGCCTTGTTTAAGCAGGCACCCCCGGAATCAAGGGCAGAGAACGTAAAGGTTTCCCGAACAAGGAATGACCATTCAGTAGATATTATAATTAATTAAATATTCAACACACCAAGAAGAAACGCCCTCTTCTGATGTTAGTAAGGAAGACGCTTCAAAGATCATAAAAGCTTGCCCTATTCGGAAACCACTTCGCCGCCTTTCAAGTGCTGATGCACCCCAGACCCAGTCAGAAAGTCGTCTGTAAATCTAGGGGGCATACGCATCAAGAGCTCGGATTTAACTCCTCTACAGGGGTGCCATTGCGTATGCAACATCCGCTCCCAGAACAACAATCGGGCCATTGAAGGCATGTTATGGAGTTGTGGACCTGCGTCTTGTTAGGCCGTATAAAAACCTTATCAATAATACTGGGGCATGTCCACAAGTGGCAGGCCCCTGATACCTCCCGTGCCCTCAACACTATGCTCCTCCCAAAGCGGAACGCTTGTTTTTTGGAACCCGTGCTTGGTTTCAGGGCTGAGGCCTGCTCTTGCACAACCGCGCCTTGGCAATGTGCGTAGCCGCCTCCAGAGCATGCCAAATCTTTCTGAACTCCTCCGACACAGGTTTTGCGAAACTTGCATGACACTGCCCTGGATTGTAGTGCAAGATGTTTATACGCACAGTTTGGGCCTTCAAGAGCAACCTAGTCCTCTAGGAAAGTCTAGAGAGTGTCACTTGAAAGTTTCCATAAAGGGGGGAACCCTTGCCGTAGGCACCCCCAAGGAAGGGGAGACCCCCACTTAGGGCTGTTTGGACCACCGTGGCTGCACGCGAGAGTCCTTGTAGACGCACAAGCTCCAAAGCAGGATGCAGAGCATGCACAAGAGAGTCCCTGGCTGCCACACGTTCATTGCAAATTCTTCTGGCTGTAAACCCAGAAAATCGTTGATGTGCTCGATGAGGGTAGCCTGCACCGTGGACAAGATGAGAGATCCGTCGCCAGCGCAGACGCGAGAGACCAGACTTGTTCCAGCCAAATCCAAGTAGCGGGAATCATGCGCTATACCTCAAGTCCATTCGCAGTCCCGACAAAACAAAACCTAGCAATATGTAAGGATATTGGAATTGGGGAATCTTGGAATTGGGAAAGAGATCAAAGGGGACAAAGCCAAACAAATACTTGTTGTCCCCAAGTGCTTGTGCGCCAATCCTTTGCGCTCTGCACCTTGGTGTCGAAGGGTTCACCCATGAAGTATTCCTTGGCTGGTTATCTCCTGGTGTTCGTACGGGAGCCCGGAAGCAAAACCAAAAATACCTCTGAAAGCCTAGACTCGGACAGCAGAATAACCGAGAAAGAGCCCTGCATCACCAGGTTCAGAAGCACAAGCAGCACGGCAAAAACGGTGTCGAACCACCCGACATCCGCCAAACCGAGGACAAGAGGGATGTTCCAAGCACTTTCCTCGAACGTTACTGGTGTGGTCCTACCCTCAGTCCGCGTCGTCCCGACTGACCTGTGCAAGTGTGGGGCGATTGTCTGAATTCTTGTTTGACTCGCTCAAAAACTAAAACAAGTGATAAAAACATAAATGCAACTCAAACATGATCCAGTGACCCCACTGATGCCACTGACCCCACGGACTCCCGACTGGTGACTGCAGACCCAGAGCGGGTGGGATGATTCGAATCAAGCTTCGCATCATGCGCGTTGGACAGCCCAAGCTGCTTCTCGATGGTCCCCAGGCGCGCCGTAATCCTCATGGGCGCATAAGGGCAGCAATGCAATTGGCCACGGAAAGCATATCTCCTCTGAATCGTGCTTAGAGGTATAGAGCCTTGTCTTTGACACTTCCGCGTGGTGCTGATGACGGGGATGATGATGATAGTAAACCCTCATTATTCATTGTCACGAACCCTAAGCCCTCAAGCCTAAACCTTAACCTCCCCCCCGGCTCCCCGAACATCCTTTGGATCTCGGCGTCGAACTGCCTTTGGAGCTGACGAAGTCCATCTTCTGCCTGGGGGATGCTCTGAAAGGGGCTCTCTGAGGCCTGCTCCACGTGTACTCTTGTTACTGTCGCTGTTAATACTAATGTAGACCCGTGATTAATAAATCCACCCCTTTTTAAGGGCCCTAATATTCAGATCCCTGTTAGAATCCCTATCTAGGAGAAGGTTCTTATTAATTAGGGGTCTACGTTATACGACTGCCGCTATGACTCTTGCTCTTCTTTCTGCTATACCTCGTCTTGTGGCGGGAGGATGTTCTGAAGGTGCTTCAAGGCTTCGGCTTCACTCTTGTTGGTATGATGTAGTATTGCGATTACAAGCACGCCAATTTTTAAGACCAGAACTTATATTGCTCTAATTACTACGATTGCTCTTAATGTTGGCATGAATCATACTGTTACTATTACTGGTTTTATTTATACTAGCTTATACAGCATTAACATGATTCATGCCATCACCGCTGGTGTTTCAACTATTGCTGCTGCACTATAACTCATCACTATGACTATTGCCATTACTTTCCTTTAGTACAAAAGTAATGATACTAATTCCATCAGGGAAGAGAGCTAACCCATAGGATGTCTACCGCGTGTGAGCGTGTTCACACATCTTCCACCTCGTGCAGGTTGGCATGAGGCGTCACTTCGATGGCGATGCTGCGAACATCGCCTTAGTTCTCCTGTGCCCATGCCCAAAAGACTCTCAACAGCTCCAACAATCTGGGACGATACAATATCAGGACAGCCTCCTACATGAAATTCAGAACTTGAAAAAGGGAAGTGGCTGCCCGGGTGGTTGTTTGACTCGAAATTGGACTCGGTGTCGCCAGGACTTGGAATGGCTGGTATCGGCATGGCCAACGAAGCTTACGGCTCTTGGAGCAAAGATTAAATTCTTCGCGTTGCAAGGAATTATGCTCTTTTCCTTAGTTCCTATCGGGAATAGCACCAGTAAATCTCCCCATCCCCCTCATCATGAAAGCCACCAACCTAGTCCATTATAATTAGGGGGAGGGGATTAGTACATATTATGGGGTGGGGTGCTTAGAGTAGTCGGTAAGCAGACTATTGATGTATCAAACCCTGCATGGCCCTCTGTGCTCGAACCCTGGGAATCATGGACATATAGTCTCAGCATAATATGCGAGGGTTTTGGTTAACAGTGTGGGCATCGGTTGAGCTCAAGTATTTGCCGTGGATATTTACAATGCCCCCATCCATGCTTCTGATATGGGTGGTTGTCAAAATTATGTTCCCTTTTTGGATACACTAAATATTAGCGGCCGTACTTTAATAGGGACCCAAAAAAAGGACCATAATTTTGACAACCACCCATATATGATTCTTACATGGTTACATGTTACATGGTGTTACTATGACAGTACTCTTCCTTTACTAGGAACCTGGGACCCTCCAAGAGCAGCATGGGCACACTGGAGGGAGAATCTGCTTAGCGCCTAGGTCTAGCAGTCTAGGGTGTAGGGTAAATAGTAGTTTCCATTCCATGTTCCATTATCCCAATATATCCCCAACATAACCCAAAATGAATTAATCCCTAAACCCTAAACCCAATACCCTAAATCCTTAACTCCTAACCCTGGTTTGGACTCATGGCTTAGGCTCACGCGGAGTTAAGTACGTACGTGCAATTGAAGCGTGCTGTCAAGATCTGAAAAGCTGTCAGCGGCACGAAGGACTTAGTGTTTAGGGTTTAGGGCTCGCATGCCGAACTTGAGGACTGGGCTGCATTCAGAGAACTTGAAGTCCTGTTGGGAGGAAAGTATGACACCCACAAAGCCTCTATATTGATGTAGCTTAGTTTAACCTAACGAGCTTAAGTTCCTTAACAGCGTCACGGGCAACAAAGGATCCCCCGAGGAGGGTTGGCACAATGAACAGGAATATGTCCACTAGGCACTAGGTCCTGATTTTCCAACCCAAATCCTCCTTTATTCTTTGGCCCTCTTGGACGTCTCCATAGAATTCCCTCCTATTTAAAGCGAGTCCAGGCTTTGGACGATGATTTCCATTGTAGCATGCTTATTTCTGTTGATACACTAGCGGGAAGCTCCATGGGGCTCGGAGTCTCGGCCCTCGGAGGCCATGTAAGTTACACCTTCAACTAATCGAACGTGTGCGGTTCAAGCCTCAGCTGCAAGCCAGCAATTAGCGAAAGCTTCCAAGACCCAAGCCTTAAATCCCTAAACCCTAACCCTAAACCCTTAAACCATTAGACCCTTAACCCTTAAGAGATTTGTTGATTGCATTGGACGGCCTATTCAACTCCAGGTAGGCGATCTGTCTTCCCGAAAGGACGGATGTACAGACGGCTTAGGCTTTAATCTTAGTTCAACATGCAAGGGCATGGGATTTACGGTTCAGATGCCCGCATAGAAGTCCCTCCCGGTAGAAAGGCCAAAGTATGAAAGGGGATCCTCTGTATTTGTACTCCGTCTCTTTGTTTTAACATCATCCTTCACGTCTACTTTATTCTATAAGGCCCGCCCCTTCATGCTTCAGAGCTTGGCACTACAAGAGTCTAACCGGCTCTGTTTAAAGCTTATTAAAGGGCTTCAAGCGTGACAGGAATGATTCTGCAAAACAAAAGCCCTTTCATGGCACCTTCCTACTGAACTGGCCTAAGCGTCTAGGCCAAAACCAGTCATGACACCTTCAAAAAATGCCAACAAACAACAGTTCATGATACTTGCGATAGGAGTAGTAGTGCTGATGAACCCTTCAGCCATCACACCCATCTTTTGCCATTGTCCCTTCCCCCAAAACCCTGCACGTCTTGTTTTGTTCTCTGGCATCATTGCCATCTGTTCGTCATCTTCAGCCTCGGAGAGGCTGGTTGTGGGGAAGACAAGTCTGGCCGCCCGGCTGTTGGGATATAACCGCCTTCCCCTCAGATTTAAGCCTCCCACCCCCTAATATGAAATATTTCAGTATGTCAGAGTATACCACAATGGAAATATTTTATACCGGGGGGGTGTGGGGTCTTCATGCTAGGGGGAGGGGATTACGATGCAAGGAGACACTCTGGTACCGTGAATGCGTAAGCTGCATGTTCAACATCTATTTTGGTTGCCTCAATGCGCTTGACAAAATGGATAAGGGAACATGCCTGTGACAACGAACCATCCCTAGACCCTCAGACTGTAATCTCCGTAGACCTCTACGAAAAAAGGATGTCCAAAGTTCCTTGGGCTTTTACGAGAATAGAAACTCGAAACAATCCGTAAGGGATAAGACCCTGAAGCCTAACAGAAACACCCAACTTGAGCTTCCAGCATCTTCCCCGGTCCGCAAAGCTATGAGGAGCAAAACCCTCACTGACCCATTCCAAGAATGAGGTCAAGCTACGAACATGCAACATCAGTCAGCTAGCTTGCCGTGGGGTGGTTGAACCATGCAAGGTTATATTCCTATTAAAAAAGTAGTTTAGAAGAAGAGAATTCTCTTAATATAGATGGGGCGAAAGAGTCCTCATCAAAAGCTGCTGAGGTAAAGTTCTAAAGTCTTAATATATTTTAGCAAATGCTTCAGTTTCTGGAATTTGTTTCCTGAACACCCTAAATTCAGCAAAGAAGTGCAATAGAAATGTCGGAACACCTATGGTGCCAAAAAGGGGAACTCTGCAGTCCAAACTTTGCAGCCCTAAATTCCCGTACCCCGTACACGCGTAGCATGGCAAAGAGACCTCCAACTTTACCTTTTGGGATCGAACTTCAAAATGTTACAAGTTTAGGCTCCGAGTTTGAGAAAAAGGTTCCAAGCTACAATCTACTGTACAAGGCGTCCAAAAAGAAGCTCCAACATGTTGATCGGCACAGTGCGCGGTGAGTGTGGCGAAATCAAAATTGGAACCTCAGGGCTCCGCTGTCGCAGCGGAAGCGGCGCCTTTCCACTTTCCTGGGTTCCTGCCGCTGCTCTTGGCCCTAGCTCGCCCACAAGTGTGTCACGTCCACACCCCCATGTTCGGATCAAAAACGGGCTGAAAGTGGTCTGCCCTACCCTGCGGTGTAGCCCAAAAAGCACCATAGATGTACGACAGTTATTGATTTCGGAGAGGAAATTGAACTTGGGTCCTGAAAGCAAAACAAGTGATTCCCGAGGAAAATCATAAAGGGGCAGGCCCAAAGCCGGAAAAATGGAAAGTTCCCAAGCCAAGCGATCTTACCCATGTTCCAACTCTCCGGCGCCCACAGAATGAATACACACCCAAGTGGCGAACAACTTGGTGCCGGGCATCAACATAGCGGAAGTCCAAGTATCCGCCGAACAATTTGTCTAACATGCGGCATCACAATCCTAAACACAACTAGCACTTGCACACCCCAGGCAAAAGACAACCCACCCACTGCCTGCAAAAGCCCTGATCCTTCAAGCCTCAACCCTACAGTTTAACTGAGCATTTCGCCAAGAACTCCTCTACAAAAATCCTACATCTGCAGCCAAATGAGTCCCGTGCCCGTGACCTACAATAGAACACATCAGTTTTACAAAGAAACTGTGTCATCAAGAGCTCCAAGCAAAACATTGAACCTCGCGATGTGGCAACATGGTGGTCTCATTGGGGGTGCTCACATGAAGGGCTTACTACTGCTGGTACTACAAATCCTGCATACCCTTCATATAGTACAATACCTGGGAATTTTGAAAGGCTTTGTAGGCGTGCCCTGCCCTTAAGCCCCACGTGGAGGTTCAGGCGTAATAATAGCCCAATGACGACCTCGGCCATAACCCAATTGTAACCCTATTGGGGGACGGCGTGGATTTGCACTGGTTTGGCTTAAAACCCAAGCATCAATAAATAGATGATGGCTACGCATGAACCTCCGAATACCGACAATGCAGAAGCATCGCACTTGCAAGCGAGTGAGAGCCACCTAGCTTGAGCTGGCGCTGTCCTTCAGCAAACGCTACTTACTTGGGAGTGGCTAAAAGTGAGGCGCCACAGAAACCTATGGGCTATAAGACAGCATAAGAGCCCACTCGAGAGCTCACATAGGGATGAGTATGGCCAACTTCCACTCTGGCAACGCTGTGGACTCTGTTGGTTTCAAGTCTCCCGTTCCATTTGGTCCTTATCTTTCTTTTTGCTTGTTCAAACTCGGAACACACATGCTCAATATGTACCTCTAGAACCTGCTCACTGCATCTGTTTGACAGTTGGTGAGTTCAAAGCGCTGACGTTCTATGTTCGTAGGATCATGTTCAGCTCTAAGGTTCCCTACTTAGCTATATAAGCCTTTGTAAATGCTGCGGGCTCTAGTGCTCCGGACCTATTGATCAACGAACAAGCGATACTAAAAATGATGAGAGGGGGTGGCGGAGGTTACTGCAATGAGGATTATAGCATGTTGATTTTTTATAGTGGAGCCCGCCTATTCATGGGGACTACCACTAATTTGCCAATGAGTCTGAGACCCTACTTGAAGGTTCATGGGGTAGTCACAGGTGGAGTTATAAGTCGTCAACCCTAAACCCTAAACCCTGTAATGAACCATTACAGCTCCTAAGTTTACCCCTCTTACAACTAGCCCCCCACCAGCCCTTAGACCCGCAAAACCTAAGGGGTCTCTTCTGAGGGGTCCCCATAGTGGAGGGCATATTTTTTTTTGAATTTTTTGCTTTGTTTTTTTGGAATTCTTTTCCTGTGACCTGCCAGGCTGTGAGACCACCTAGGACGCAGGTAAGGGATTTGATCAATTCTGGCAGTGAGACTGTTGGGCT